AGTAGTACTTATATTACTCAACAGATGGCGGGAGTAGTTTTGCGTTATTCGGTAGACTAGCGATCATCATCTACGTTATGTAAACAAACGTAACCGTACATGTTACATAAATCAATTTTCCCAGTCATATTCAGCATTGAAGATTTTTAAATGAAAATAGATTTCAATTTTATTGAACAAAAAAAAAAAAAACAATGTCGCCCAGTTTCATTTCAATTATTATAACGCTAAAATCCAGGGTTCGATTCCCCATAGTGGACAGAGGGCAGATAGCTCATTGTGTAGCTTTGCGATGAAACAAAACAACAAAACACACACGTGCACTTACTCGTTTTAACAAGAAAAATGATGTCGCCCGGTTTCACTTAAATTATTACAACGCTAAAATTCAGGGTTCTATTCTCCACGGTGGACAGTGGGGTGGATAACTTATTACGTGGCTTTTCGTTGAAACGAACAAACATTCTAATTACTAATAAATACTTTAAATTATATTTATAAGTCAGAAAAACAGCAACTCTGTTTACGCAATAGTGTTATGTCATGGTCGGCATAAACTACAGTATTAATTTGATTTAGGTCACGGAAAGTCTCAATTTATTAATGGTTCATCTGCTGTATTCAGCAAGTCATGCCACTATGCTGCCTGATAAAAATAAAAATATTGATTTAAAATCCTGTATAGAAACTGTGTGCTCAACTTAGCTGATGAGCTGGGTATATTAAACCTATTTCGCAATGAAAGGGTTTGTTTAACTTGGGCTGTTAATTAAGATAATTAAAATCCCAATTTACATAGGAAGTTTGAGACGCCACATTATTTCGTCTTGTTATCGATGAAATACTGAGTTGGTCGTCATACGAAATTTTGCCGTATCTTATTGAAACCTTTGAGGAAAATGAATAGGTATTTTTAGTCTGAACCTTATACGCACGTGGACTAAACGACCAGATCAGAGACTCCTATTACTCTGGTATAGTCGTTCGTAAGTGTAAACTACTGACCAAACGGAAGACAGCCAGAGGTTTGCTCGGTTTTTACAACTGTCATTCTTATGACACGTCTACAGCTGAAAGTGCGGTTGGTGTTAACCGTCATCATGTCTCGAATCCCGGATCTCTTGATTGGTAGCCCGACAAATTGGCCACAATACTACGTTGAGCCTTGAGATGAATAGTAAGTTTCTAAGGTAGCCAATAAGATAACGGCAAATACTCTTATTTAAAAGGTCTGGCATGACCTGGTGGTTAGGGCGCTCTACTTGCAATCTGCAGCTTGCGGGATTAAAACCCGTCATCGAACATGCTCGCCCTTTCAGCCATGGAGGCGTAATAATGTGACAGTAAGCCCTAGTGTTTGTTGGTAAAGCGTAGCCCAAGAGTTGGTGGTGGATGGTTTTAGTTAATTGTTGGTTTCCTCTAGTATATCACCTCAAAATTAGGGACGGCCAGCGCAGAAAGCTCTTGGGTAGCTTTAAGCGAATTTCAACAAATAACATCTCATTTTAAAAAATTGTATGACAGCAAAATGTTTCAACCAAAACTTCTGATAATTTTGGTGGCTTAGTAAAACACCGGTTGGTTTATATAATGTATTTTGTTCAATGCTTCTTTGCTTCTTTTTCCACGGTTTTCATTTTATGAACCGAATTTTCCCAGAACTTGTTTCTAACAACGTAGCTGATATTTTCTCCTTTATTTTCATGTCATTATTCTGTGCATTTATTTATCTAAATTTGAGGCTAAACCCATTACAACGGACTTGACCTTTCTGCGGCTACCTATACCAGAAGGTTGTACTGGCTATAAGTCATAAATTTGATCATTGTGTCGAATATTATTTTTAGGAAAAAATATGGAAGCAGTGATGATTCAACTTTTAGATACAATTATTGTATTCTTCAAGACACTGAAGAGTTATTGTAGTTGTGTGACGTCAACGAAACAATCATGACCAGCTTGCACACCGGCTGCTATAACGTTTGACAAACAGAGACCCGCAAAACAATTGTGGTCAAATTAGCATATTTATTGCTCTTTTAAATACAGGATCAATAAGTCCACTTGTCTTAGGCCTAATATTAGTTAAGCCTTTATTGATTACGGCCTATATTCGATAAGAGATAAATTAACACTGTAACTTTAGTTTAATTGAGGCTAAACTTTACCGTACTTAATACTATCAATAACTAAACTTATAATGTTATTCTACCACCTAACGTTAGAACTTTCTAAAAACAGATAAGCTTTTATTATGTTGTATAAAATGTCTACTAAAGTATATTCACATCCGCCTTTTGTTTACATCCGTTGAAATAAAGTGTACGTGCATTTTCAAATCAGACAAAAACTGAGTGTTATTATAATAAATTGTTAGTGTGTCGTGATGAGCCTCTCCTCTTCAGCCCCCTAAAATTGATTCCAATGTCACCCCCATTTCTAGTTGTTGAAGTGTCTAGACCTACACAGAAAGCCCAGGCCTACATGTTCCGAACTAGACGGGGGAACGAAGTACAGGAACCTTAACGGAAATAAGCCAACTGCTAGTAGATTTATTTAAATGATTCAAAAGGGTTAGCATGACCAAGATAAAAGGTTGTACAGGAATTACAAGGACAGTGATTATAGTCGTAAGATGAATGAGCTGCAGGTAAAGTAAGTTTAAACCCCCTGAAGGATATGCTAATGCTAATATTGTAGCACCACAATAACTTTCATTTCTCAATTCACTACATTATTATGCTTTTAAACCATGGTCAGTAGTGCCAATATTTTATTTAAGGACAGTGATTATGGTCGTAAGATGAATGAGCTGCAGGTTAAAGTAAGTTTAAACCCCCTGAAGGATATGCTAATGCTAATATTGTAGCACCACAATAACTTTCATTTCTCAATTCACTACATTATTATGCTTTTAAACCATGGTCAGTAGTGCCAATATTTTATTTAAGGACAGTGATTATGGTCGTAAGATGAATGAGCTGCAGGTTAAAGTAAGTTTAAACCCCCTGAAGGATATGCTAATGCTAATATTGTAGCACCACAATAACTTTCATTTCTCAATTCACTACATTATTATGCTTTTAAACCATGGTCAGTAGTGCCAATATTTTATTTAAGAAGTGTGTAGAATTAGGCACGTTTTAACCTGAACGACATCGTATGACATCTGTATGACCAGAAGAAAATCCCCTGTTAAGTTCGAGATTGGCCATCCCTTCTGAGGTTCTGACCAGATGAAAGAGAAGCAGTCTGCAGCACACGCTACCTACTTGACTACTCTTAACCGAAAAGAGGGATTGACAGTCACGGTTATAACGCTTCAACAGATGAATGTGCGGAGCATGTTCAGTAGCACATCACGGCTCGAACCTTGGATGTTTCTGAAATAAACGAGAACTTATTGTATCTGAAAAGCTTGCGGAAACGCATGGGATCGTGGGGAATTTACAGTGCACTAGACAATTATGTTTTTGTATTTCAATGGAATTCAAGCTACCAGATAGGAACCTTATAAAAACTGGATTTATCCGTCTTTTGTGGTTATCAACCTTTCACAGTGTTGTCTTCTCTTGCTACTGTATCATATAAATAGGTATAATTTCTAAAGTAATCTGAAATACTAGAGGTAAAGTCAGGATTTGGTGATCTTGTCTGTCAGAAACAAAACCTGTTTTTTTGTAGGGTCGAACTACACTTGAACAGGACATCAGAAACGACCAGTGTTTGTTTGAGTTCGAGAACTAACTAATTTTATCAAACCATGAAGAGTGGTTAGCGTTAATCCAATCGACTAACGACTTGCGTAAAGAATAAAAACTTTAAAAACGAAACCGACAAACAGAATCGTAAAACTGACTCGGTACGTTTTCGTGAAACAGACAAGACTACTACCTGGTTCGGGTAGTCTGAAAATGAGTGTTTATCCATGAAGCCGTTAAACATATATTGTCAAGCACAAGTTGAAGGCCATCTTGGATTAGCTATGTAGGGGAGCGATCAATAGCCGAATTTCAGCGAATCTAGTATTTTAATACATTTACTAAAAATACTTATTCTACATACTTCGCCTAGCAAGACGTTAGCTACACATAATAACAAAATTAAAGTAACACACTGGTGCCAGTTTATAGAAAGAACGACAATACAGTAATACACTGATCCCCAGTTTATAGAAAGAACAACAATACTTAATGAGTAGAAAGAATAACTATAACATGTACTGCGTGATGCTGATCTTAAGTATATTCAGTATATATTAAGTATATTGCGTGTGATTTTTAAAAGATTTGAACGTGTGTGAATGGAAGATCGGACCGCTGTGAAACAGATCTGATGATTGGATAAATGAAAGAAAAGATTAAGCAGAATACTGATGACGTACAGGACGGCCTTTGCTGTTTAATTTGATTGTGAAAAATATTAAAGACGGTTGTATATGATGTAATTATGGCGAGACTCGCGGTACACATGAACTGAGTGTTGTTTTAAAAAAATACAAGATAATATTAATAACAGAAAGAGTTTGTTTGTTTGTTTCTTTTAAGTTAAGCACAAAGCTACACAATGGGCTATCTGTGCTCTGCCCACCACGGGTATCGAAACCCGGATTCTAGCGTTGTTAGTCCGCAGACATACCGCTGTGCTACTGGGGGGCAACAGAAAGAGAATTACTGTTTATTATCCCGCCAATTTGGCTTTCAGGAGACTTATAACATTAAAATCCGGGTTTCGATACCCGTGGTGGCCACAGCGCATATAGCCCATTGCGCATAACAACAAACAAACAGATAAGTAACAGACACACACAATTATATAATACGTCAATCAAAAAACAAAGGTTTCAAAACATTGCAGGTTTGTCTGTTTTAAAATCATGGCTTGTGGTTATTCGCCCCTCTGCAGAGTAATTGAATATTAGTGTTGCAAGTCGCATGTAGTTTCGAGTTACTAATGTGTGTGAAGAGATGATAATATGTATTTTTGTTTATCTTGTGTAGGATCTCCGGCGGATCGAGCGGACCTGGAGGTCGGAGACGAGATCTTGGAGGTGAACGGGAAGTCGCTGGAAAATTTCACTCATACGGAAGTAATTTCTCATATCCATCAGGTACGACCGTACTGAGCCTTTTATGTTACCATTAACTTCGTTTGAACATAAGCTGAGACTGAAATTTATGTTCTTGCTCGATCCTGCGTAAATCTTTTATTTACTGCTTAAATTTCGTGTTCTAGTCGTTTCCACGTGAAGTGTAGAATTGGGCTCTAACATGAAATAAATGTTACAAGCTTCGAAGTTTTGTATAATATATATATATATATATAATAAACTGACTAAAATAGTTCCAGGCTTTTCTGAGATGCAATTATGAAATTAGATACAAAATAAAACTAATTATTTATTTATTGCACCTAGCTAAAGATCAACGCGAAGAAAAAAAACACGAAATATATTCATAAATGGGAGATGTTTTAAAGTATGGAGTAAACACGATTCGTTGAAAAAAAAGTGAAATAGAACACAAAAATGAAACATATTGGGAAATCGAAAAAAAAAGGTACGGTATTAATGAATAATAATACAAAATGGCAGATGTTCACAACGGAAGAGTGCCTATTGTTTCAGATTTTCACAACAATACAAAACCGCGTTCTTCTCGTACGTTTTCTCTATTGTTAACAGACTAAAATGAAAACGACAGACGTCGTTTTTCGATGCGAAATCAAACAGATATTTCAGGTATGGATGTTTGAACGTGGGTTTCCTTCTTAGTTTGTCGGGCGAGTTTGTTTGTTTTTGTTGTCGTTTTTTTTTTAGAACTAAAATCCATATTCTTTCATTTTAAAAATCTCGGATTGCCGTATGGCTTGACAAATAGTATAAAAGCGGAGCACGTAAGGGGGGATGTGTAGAATGAATTTATTTCCCGCTAGATTTCACTGTATTCAGTTGTTTTTATTGTGAGATAGTATATTTCAGTTTTGATACACTAAAATGTTACCGTATAATATATAATTCATAAGACCTTGTGGTTGGCTGTCAATCACTTAAAACGGAGAAACTGCGTGATAAGTGAACATTGTTGGAGTCCGTCTCTTGAGAACTTGGACAATATATATATTTGACGCGTATTTCTGGAACATTTTTAAACAGTTTAATTAGCTGCACGGTTTGTATAGCTCGATTCAAATATCCAAATTTCAATATCTGAAATGTAAAGGTCATTCTTTGTCTTAATGTTCTCCCATGGTCCTCGAAATGTTGTGGGCACACGATATTTTTTTAACCAATAAAATACACAGTTTTATTTATACCATCCGAAATAGTGTTATTAACTGATACTAGATGGCACTGTAATTGAGTTTATAGCAAGCAAAATTCTATAGACGTTGAGCCATTAAGAAGCTATTATCAGTAAACACGAGCTATTTATTGTGTAGCTGTGAATACCTAAAATGAAAACAACAAAATATCGGTTCTTCGGGAGAAACGTGTTTATTCTTTATACAAGCATAAACATGATTAGAAGAGTCAAGAGATCAATTATCCTCACATGTGAATTACGCGTGTTAAATATTGATGGGAGTTTGTAGAGATCAATTATCCTCACATGTGAATTACGCGTGTTAAATATTGATGGGAGTTTCTTGGGTAATACAGAAATACTTTCTTCTT